GAGACATAATCTGACTTAGGTATTTTATTTTATTTTATTTATTTTTTTAGAGACAGGGTCTTGCCCTGTTGCCCAGGCTAAAGTGCAGTGGTGTTTTCATAGCCCACTGTAACCTCAAACTCCTAGGCTCAAGCCATCCTCCTGCATCAGCCTCCCAAGTAGCTGGGGCTACAGGCTCATGCCACCATACTGGGCTAATTTTTTATTTTTTTGTAGAGATGGGTATTGCTGTGTTGCCCAGGCTGGTTTTGAACTCCTGGCCTCCAGTGATCCTCCTGCTTTGGCCTCCCAAAGTGCTAGGATTACAGGTGTCAGCCACTGCACCAGGCTGATTTAGGTATTTTAAAAGTCATTCTGGATGCTGTGTTGGAAATCACCTGGAGGGGCAGAGGCAGAATTCTGTGAGAGATCAGTCAGAGGCTATGAATGAGCTAAGTGGGAGGTGGTGGCTTGGACCAGGATACTAATGGTAGAGGCAATGAAAGGTAGTCAAATTGTGGATATATTTCAAAGATAGAACCAACAGGGTTTAATGGTGGGTCGGAAGCTGTGTGAGAAAGAGAGGAGTTGTGGATGGCACCAGGGTTTTAAGCTTGAGCTAAAATTTGAATTTCATCGGATGGCTGTTTATCGAGAGGACAGACACTGGGAAGATCAAGTTTGTGGAGGATGCTCAGGCGTTTTGATTATGACATGTGAAGTTTGAGATGATATGTCTGTAGGTGAGATACATATATATATATATATATATATATGGCTTTGTATATATGGTTGGGTTGGCAGTATAGTTTAGGGAGAGGTTTAAGAAGAGACCTCTAAATAGAGAAAGCTACAAGTCGTCAGCATCTACTTGGCATTTGAAACCACATCACTGAATGAGATCACTGAGGGAATGAGGAAGCCGAACACTAAGCCTGGGGTCATCCAGTGTTCAAGGTCAGGGCGAGGAATGGGTAGGCGTGCTGTCTGTGCTGGGCACCAAGTAAAAAACGCATATCAAGAGGGAAGGAGGGATCAACTGTCAAACGCTGCTGTCAGGTCAAATAAGTTGCACACTGAGGATTGGCAATGGGATTGAGCCACCTGGGTGTCATTGTGATAGGATGGTTGGGCAGAAGGCTGGTGGGCAAGGGTGCGCAGGTAGGTGGGGAAGGGAGTTAAAGACAGTGCAGTTGGACAACTCTTGAGGATTTTGCTGCAAAAGGGAGGTGTGAAACTGTGTTGAAGGGCATGTAGGGTCGAGAGTTGTTAAGATGTGGAAGATCATAATTGATTCAGTAGAGGGAAGAGCCGATGACACAGGAGAGGAGGAAGTTGCTTAGAGTGATGCCCTTGAGTAGGTGGGGCTGGGAGGGGAGGAGATGTCTTGCCAAGTGGAAGGGTTAGCCTTAATAGGAGGGTGGACATGCTGGTTGATGGGCAGATGTGGGAGCTTGTGGTAGTTCCCTCTGATTGCTTCTGTGTTGTCAGTGATCAGGAACTAAGGCCATCCACTGAGAACACAGAATTGGGAGAAGACGCTGGAGATTTGGGGGATTAGGAGAGGTGAAGGGGTGAATCAGTCTGGGAGAGGGGCTGGTATAGGGAAGTGTAGTGGAACTGCCAGGCAGCACTAAGATCTCCTGAGGTTGGTAGTTTTGAATTTAAACTGAGACAGTCAGCCTAGTCTTGTGGGTTCCCAGCCATGAGAAGTTCCCAGTGTGGAGCAGACAACAGGCAGGTAGGGGCAGGCACCACAAAGGGAGAGAGGTACAAGGAAGCTGCGAGTGTATGTGTGAGGGAGTGATGACAGTGCTAGTCCATGGAAACTGAATTGTGGGTATCAGAGCAGAGAGGGATGAGGGACATTAAAACAGGATCAACAGGTGCAGGTCTTAGAGGAGTTGAAAGATTATTGGACTCTGGGTGCCCAGAGGGGTGTGTTGAAAGGACTGGAATGATGGGAAGTGGGCTTGGTGGGTGGGATGCTTGGCATTAAAATGGCGGTGGGCTTGGAGTTACTGCAGTGACAGGCTTTGGTATGGCCACGGCAGGGAGGGAGGGGGTAGGGTCAGTGAGCAGAGTGGCAGAGGCCAGGGAGGCTGCTCCTCTAAGTGGGTGAGTCAGAACTGGGCTCGCTGTGGGTCGGCTTAGACCAGCCAAGCCACAGTCCTGGTGCAGGATCTAGGGCCAGCTCCTGGACTCCCCTACTGATCTCTTAGAGTTTGTGGATTGTGAGGGCCCAGACCCACTTTTGAGGTGGGCTTTGCCCAGTGAGTTGGAAGGTGCCCCTCTCTTAAACCTGCCAGACCACAGCAGAAGTCACTTAGATGTGCTGGGTGAGAGCCACAGCTGCAGCTGTGGTGGTATTTTCAGGTTTAAATAAAGATTTTGTTTTTCCCCTTTAGGCTGATTTATTTTTTAAGGTCCTGTGGAGTTTCTTTTCAGCCCTAGAGACCTGCAGCTTTAGTCTGTTTTTGCGGTCTTGTCCTCACTGGTGACAGAGCCCAGCTCCCTCCCTAGCTGTCTTCCTCCTGCTTGTCTGAGCTGGCTGTCAGCTTTCTGCTGGTGGCACCATTTGCTTTATTGAACACGTTTGAGCTGGTATTTTAATATAATTTTTTTTCTTCTTTTATTGTAGAAATTACAGAAAAGTATATGAAAAAAACATTCTTATGATCCTGCCCTCTACAATGTTAATATTTTAATGTATTTCCTTCTAGTTTTTTCCTTCGTGCATATTTGTACATAATTTTTCTCACAAGATGAGGGTCATGTTGTGTATGCATAGACTTAGACCCTCTTTTCATGTTACTCATATGACTGAATGTTCACTGACGCAGTTGTTGATGGTTACATGTAGGAATATTCCTTTGTACAAAGGAGTCGTTCATTTACCCAACCTGTTCCTTTTGGACAATTATGGTGTTTTTAGTTTTTTAATATTACAGATAATGTTGCCATTATCACACTCGTATATAAATCTCTGCCCATCTCATGATTATTTCATTAGGATAAATTCCTAGAAGTGGAATTACTAGACCAAAGGACTTGATGGACTTGATAAAGATTATAAAATTACCTTTAGAAAGGCTGTACCGGTTTATTCTCCCATTAGCAGGGCATGATAGTGTCCTTTTCGTCATTCTCTGGCCAATAGTGCATAATATAATATTTAAAAATCTATGTAAAAAAAAATGACATTTTAAAACCTACCATAGGCCGGGCGTGGTGGCTCTCACCTGTAATCCTAGCTCTCTGGGAGGCCGAGGCGGGCAGATTGTTTGAGCTCAGGAGTTCGAAACCAGCCTGAGCAAGAGCGAGACCCCGTCTCTACTAAAAAAAATAGAAAGAAATTAATTGGACAACTAAAAATATAGAAAAAATTAGCCGGGCATGGTGGCGCATGCCTGTAGTCCCAGCTACTTGGGAGGCTGAAGCAGGAGGATCGCTTAAGCCCAGGAGTTTGAGGTTGCTGTGAGCTAGGATGATGCCACGGCACTCACTCTAGCCCAGACAAAAAGAGTGAGACTCTGTCTCAAAAAAAAAAAAAACCTGCCATATTAGCTAAGAACTTTAGGAGGCTGAAGTAGGAGGATTGCTTGAGGCCAGGAGTTCAAGACCAACCTGGGGAACATATTGAGACCCCATCTCTACAAAAAATTAAAAAAAATAGCTGGGTGTGGTGGCACATGCCTGTAGTCCCAGCTACTTAGACAGGAGGATCGCTTGAGCCCAGGAGTTGGAGCCTGCAGTGAGCTATGATAGAGTCCTGCACTCCAGCCTGGGTGACAGAGTAAGGCCATGTCTCAAAAAAAAAAAAACCCAAAAAACTAGGTAAGTAATGTGTGTGTATATAGTTAAAACACTCAAATGGGAATAGAAGACTTAAAAACAATAATCACCTCTCCCTACCCCCTGTCATGCTCCTCAGAGGCAAGCCCAGTTTAATCTTCTAGCTATTTTGGCTAGATTTACTTCTATATTTCTAAATAATATGCTTATAGTGAGATTTTTTTATCAATTTTGGGCTTAATCTGTTGATGTCCTACTCCGATGGGTGTGCCTCAGTTTCCTCATCTATGTGCGTACTTCATTGGTCACAAGAAGCAAATGGCTAATGTATGTAAAGCACTGAGCATAGGCCGTGGGCCATGGTAAGTTCTCAATATGTACTGATTTTAGTGGTGATTACTAAGATGATTAGTGTTCTTAACATCCTTGCTCCCTCCGGATCCTCTTCCAGTCACCACATACAGAAAAGAACTTCAGTTGGCATTGTTTTATAGTAGTTAATGTGAGTCACTAGACTTTTTTGCAGAAATGCCTGAAAGCAAAAAATAACATTGATAAGATGTCTTGATGCTTTCTGACACAGTGACGTCAAGCTATCTGTGTGCTCCTGGTACTGCAGAGTCAAGTTCGGCCTTGGCTGGTAGACGTGACACACAGCTTTGATGGCACAGATACGGTTCTCTACAACTAACACTTCAGCAAATGTATTTCCCCTCCATTTATTTTATTTATTTATTTTTAAAACAGCACTTGGGTATTATATTTTTAAATTTATGGTCAGTAACTTGAGAGAGATTACAGTTTGTGGGTTTTTTTTTTTTTAAGTATACTTAGGGATTGTACAGCCATTACCACAGTCTAATTTTACAGTTTTTTCCTTTTCCCAAAAGAAACCCTGTACTCATTAGCAGTCATTCATTCTTCCTTCCCCCTGCCCTATCCCAAAATAACCATTAATCTTCTTTCTGTGTCTATAACTTATCCTGAGCATTTCTTATATATGG